CGTGGATAATGGTTTGAAAACTACCCGTTTTCACTGGGAGCGTTAGAAACACATGCCCTGCCCGTGGGCCCGGTGGTGTCCAGGACTTGAGTTAACGCAGTGCAGTGTGGAGGCCTGGGTGTCAGTAAAAAGGCAGAAGCGGGGCAGAGTAATGACGATGAGGCGGACTTGGTTTCCCGTGGAATAGATACTTCCGGAAAGTTGGGAGTGGAGGCAGTCTGGGTCTGGGAGATGAAGCAGAGATGAAACGTGGCCGGAGAGGCTCAGTGAGAGGAAGAGCTTGCACTTGGGGGGCAGCAGCAGTGACCCGGATGAGAGGCATGCGGGCTTCCAGTTTGGAAAAGGAGCTTGGGTCTAAAGTATCTTGTTTGTGTTAGATGCGAGCTGACAGATCGCTGGTGAGAGGCTTGAAGCAGCAAATACTGCTCATGAAGTTGTGGTGGGAGAAGCTGACGTTTGTTGTTTTCTATCTGCCAGGTGCTGTGCTGAGATAATGCAGATTATCTTGTCTAAACTTTAGAACTGCTCCAGGAGGAAGATGTTATTATGGCATCATTTAAGTTTTAAAAATGAGGAGAATCTTTTCTTTGTTTTAATTGGAGGATAGTTAATTTACCATGTGGTGTTGGTTGTAGGTGTACAGCAAAGTGATTCAAGTATACATATATTTATATATATTCTTTTTTAGATTCTTTTCCATTACAGGTTATTGCAAGATATTGAATAGAGTTCCCTGTGCTGTACAGTAGGTCCTTATTGTTTATCTCTTTTATATATAGTTGTGTGTATCTGTTACTCCCAAACTCCTAATTTATCCCTCCCCCTCTTTCCCCTTTGGTAACCATGTTTGTTTTCTATGCCTGTGAGTCTCTTTCTGTTTTGTAAATAAGCTCTTTTGTATCATGATTTTTTAGATTCCATATATAAGCTATATCATATATTTATCTTTCCCTGTCTGACTTACTTCGCTTAGTATGATAATCTCTAGGTCCATCCACGTTGAGTAGCTCTGGGTCTTAATCCTCTTAGTGGTTGCAGTTGGGATTTGAATGCAGGCAGCAGGGGCGGCAGGAATTGAAACCGTCTCTGCTCTCTGTGTGCCTCCAGAATTCGAAGGGAGGAGCCTTGGTTACTTCCTAGAATCCCACCTGACCTGCCCTTGATGGAAGAGTCAGGCTGTTTTGCTGAATGCACAAATTTTACATTAGGAGTCATGAGTGGCAACTGCAGACTTAACAACGTTTAGCGTTTGGTTTATTTTGCTTTTTACTTTTGTTTACACCGTATCATGAGAACTTTGATAGACTCAGATAGGTAGTGGCTAGTGGTAACAGCATATCTAAAAATGCCTTGATTTCCCTGTGGGGTTACTACTCAGTTAATTGGAAATCCCAGGAGAAGCTGAAAGACTTAACGTGATAGTGGTCTTTGATATGTTAAAGTTTGGTTCATAACATATTTGAAAATACCCTTTAAAACTATAGCTTTTGAATCAGTGTATGCATGTGTAATGGTCTGATACAGTGTGTGTGAGAATAACGTGCTGAAATATGATTTGGGAACTTTCGGGAACGTATTTAATAAAATATATTATTTTCTCCTGGTTGATGTTTAGCCATATTCGGACCTCTAAACTCTTCTTCCTTAATATCTTTTCCTGGGTGTGCTGGGCAGCACTGCAACTATTAAACTTACCCTGTGGTTGAAATGTTTTGGCAGCCCTCGTTAATAGGCAGTTACCTTTGTGACTGGACTGGCGTGGAATGTTCTTGACCCGGCAGAAACCAGTCCCCGCCTCTACCCAGCTATCGCCCCTTTCTTCATATAGCTATAAATACCACCCACATAGCTCCTGCGTTCTTACGGTTCCCAGAAGCAGCTGATTTTATATATATATATATTTTTAATTTTATTGAAGTATAGTTGATTAACAATGTTGTGTTCATTTCTGCTGTACAGCAAAGTGACTCAGTTATACATATATACACTTTTTATATACTTTTCCATTATGGTTTATCATAGGATATTGGATATAGTTCCCTGTGCTGTTTGTTATACAGTAGGACCTTGTTGCTTATATCCATCGTATTTTTCTAATTTGCATCTGCTAATCCAAAACTCCCAGTCCATCCTTCCCCCACCCTCCTCCCCCTTTGGCAACCACAAGTCCAAAAGAAGCTGATTTTATAATCTGTAAAGGCTCTTGTGAAATTTTACGTAGAGGTTCAACTTTTCATTTACAGTTTCCTAGATTCGTTTCTCTGAACCTTGTTTTCAGAGATTTCAATTGGTTTGAGGCAACAAATTTGAAAACTTTTATCTTTTACCCCTTTTCCTAAGAGAATTGGGAGAATAATAAAGCCAAGTATTTGCTTCTCCCTTTGTCAAAAAAAAAGAATAACCACAGCAATAAAATAGCCAACAAATTGCAAGTGTACTTACTGTGTGCCAGGCATTAATCTGTGTCCATGTTGTTGAATTTGCACAACACAGTGTCATGACTGTTATCATCCTTGTTTTACAAGTGAGAGAACGATCTTAAAGCAGTTAAGTAACTTGAACATGTAGGTGGTAGAGATGGGATTTGAACTGGGATGTGCTGGAAAGGCTCGCCAGCATAATTTTAGGGCAGAATGTCAGTTGGAAGTTGGGCGATGTTTCTGCTCCTTTTTTCCCCATGTTTTAAAAAAAAGATTACCAAAGGGGAGAGGCGGGAGGAAGGATAGATTAGGAATTTGGGATTAATAGATATACACTACTATATATAAAAGAGATAACCAACAAGGACCTACCTTATAGCACAGGGAACTGTACTCACTATCTTATAATAATCTATAAGGGAAAAGAATCTGGAAAAGAATATACAAATATGTAACTGAATCACTTTGCTGTACACCTGAAGCTAACACAGCCTTGTAAATCAACTATACTTCAATAAAATGAAAACAAAAACAAACAAACAAAAAGAAATCCTTCCCATATATCCTATATAACATGTTCATGCACACAGTTCTTTCCTGTGCTGTGGAGATGAGCACAGATTCCTAGGAAAGATGACTAAATTGAGATACACCTGCACTTTCAAATACTGGCCCTGTGTGGGGAGCCTTGCTCCAGCTGTGTCTGGGTGTGAGCTCCCTGGCACGGCTGCCTCACCCAGTACCGGATGGAGAGAGGCATGTGGGCCTACATCCCTTTCACGGGGTGCTGGCAGAGCTGGTAGGCCTAGGGTGGGCTTAACTGCCCCGTGTTCCTGCCCCACGTCCCTGGGTTGGCCTCTAGTCCTCTGGCTCCTGGAGCAGCGGTAGGAATAAAGGGCTTTCTGTTTGCACCTAGCAATGCCCAGTGTAAAAGGATTTCTTTGTTTTATTTTATTTTTTTTAATGTTATTGAAGTATAGTTGATTGACAATGTCATGTTAATTTCTGCTGTAGAGCAAAGTGACTCAGTTATTATACATATATATTCTTTTTCATATTTTTTATTATGGTTTATCACAGGATATTGAATATAGTTCCCTGTGCTATACAGTAGGACCTTGTTGTTTTTCCATTCTATGTATAATAGTTTGCATCTGCTAATTCCAAACTCCCAGTCCATCCCTCCCCCACCCCCCCTCCTCTTGGTAACCACAAGTCTGTCCTCTGTTTCTGTTTTGTAGATAACTTCATTTGTGCCATATTTTAGACTCCACATATAAGTGATATCATATGGTACTTGTCTTTCTCTGTCTGACTTAATTTGCTTAGTATGATAATCTCTAGGTCCATCCATATTGCTGCAAATGGCATTATTTCATTCTTTTTTACAGCTGAGTAATATTCCACTGTGTGTGTATGTGTGTGTGTGTGTGTGTGTGTGTGTGTGTGTGTGTGTGTCACATCTTCTTTATCCATTTATCTTTCTAGGCTACGGGCTATCTTTGGTCTGGGTTTTCTACTTTCAGTTGCCTGACTGCCTGTTTGGACCTTTGCCTTCTGTTTTGTTTTTACAGTGTCTTAGCCTCTCAGGGTTTAGACTGAAAAGAGTCTTGAACATTATCTGCTTCTGCCTCCTTCCTCCTCATAGATGAGAATGTTGACTCATGGATGTGAAATGACGTGTTCAAAGCTATGGGACTAGCGGCCAGGACTGGGGCCAGTGTCATGACTTCAGGGATTTTCTTCCTGGTGCAGGATGACTTGCCCTGCCTCCGTTTTGCTTCCCATCTGACCCTGGCTGGCCACCTGTCCTCTTGATCCCCTGGCTTTGCTCCTGCACTGGCTGAGGGAACAGTTTGCCGGTGTTACTCCCAGTTTGGAAATCACTGTGTGACCCCTGCCGAAGTCACTTGGTGCCTTAATGTCATTATCAGCAGGTTAAGTAGGGCACTTATCAAAGGGTGACTTGCAGATGTAAATCGTGTGAACTGGGGACCTGTTTTATTATCGTTTAATGGAAGAGACTTTAAAGAATTAATGAAAACAAAGTATAGGGAAAATTATTTGATAAAAGTTTCCCATTGAGTAAGCTGAATGAGGATTCATGAGAAAATTAGAGAGACCTCAAGCCAAATTGTTATGTAATGTGGTTAATTGGAGAGGGTGCTGTTTTCCTTTTCTGTTCTTTACACAGAATACCTGTTGGATCAAGTTCTCTGCAGGTAGTAACATAGATTAATTTGTAGGTTCTGCTTTGATCCATTTGAACTTGGAAAAACATGTGCTTAAGTTGTTTGAGCAGATCTAATTAGTAAAGTGGAATGGAGAATTTTCAACACTGGGACATTTTGGAATGAAAAAAAAATGAGATGCTTCGGTTAAATCCGACTTTTCCATCTGTTAAGCTCTTTGAAACTCAGTTTCCCTATATGTAAAATGGGAAAAATATACTCCTCTTACAAGTGAGAGTTAGGAGGATTAAGTGAAACAGCACTTGTAAAGTGCTTGGCACATAGTAGGTTCTTAATCTGTGTTAGTTTCCTTCCTTCCTAATGGTTTAATGTTTTCTGTTCCATTTAGATATCTGATATCCATGTTACTGGTGAGTCAGAAGACATGTCTGCAAAAGAGAGATTGCTACTGTGGACACAGCAGGCCACAGAGGGTTATGTGGGGATTCAGTGTGAAAATTTCACCACCTGCTGGAGAGATGGAAAACTATTTAATGCCATCATTCATAAATACAGGTATGGAATTTGTTGGGTTTTTTCCCCCTTTGACAAATCTGAGAAGTGTTTCTTTCATTTCCAGATTTTAAAATAACCTTTTATTATTAGACAAGCACTGAATGTGTATGGCAGAACATTAGAAATACAGACAAGTGAAAAAAAATCACATTTCCACTACCCAGAGATCGTCACTCAGATACACAGAGCTATGGTGTGTCTTTGGATTTTGTCAGTGACTTAGTGGAGAGTAAGCTCTGATACGTAGAATCTGTAGGTGGAGGACCAAGGTTGTGTATGTGGAGAACTGATGATTAATGAGGTCAAGGTTCAGACTAAGCCTCACAAGTTTCCATATCATAGTATCCTTATCTAGTTACTCTAGTAAGTAGCTGGGTTTAATGATGGCCAACTTCGGGGTGGTAATCAGTTTCCCAGTGAGAATTGTTAACCCCAAGATCTGAGTTAACACTGACATAGCACCTACTAAGTGCCAGGTGCTGTCCTAAGCAGTTTACATATGTTCATTCACTCAGGCCACACAGCATCCCTAAGGGAATCTTGTCCTCCCTGAGTTACAGACAGAAACTGAGACCAGAGTAAATACTTGATTCAGGTCACAAAACCATCGAGTGTTGGGCTTGGGATTCAAACCCAGGTACTTGCCTGTTGAGTCCACACTCCTATTGCCTTATAAGAAATGAAATCCCTGGAAATTCTTTACTGAAAATGATGTATTGATCTCCGTTATTTTTCTTAGTTTTGCAAGGATTATGTCATGTCGTTGAAGAACTGAATATCTTCCCAAATAGAGTAACTCATTAAACTGACAAACTTATTGGATTGCAATAAAAACAATAGGCGGAATAGGTCATATTTTGATAACTTTCTGCATGTGAGGCATTCTGTTAAATGCTTTCCTTATGTTATCTCACTCATCTCCCAGAGTCCCATAAAGCAGGAGCTGCTGTCACCCACTTTTATAGATGGGGAACTTCAGGTTAGCCAGGGTCACACTGCCACCAGGTTGCAGAGCTGGGTTCTCACCCAGTCTGTTTGCCTGGAACCCCATCTCTCCCTTTCTCTTTCTTCCTTTCCTTTCTCTCCCCTTTCTCCCCATTCTTTTTTATTTTGGAGACTTTGACATCTATAGAACTGTACTGAGTCTCCCATGGGTCCACACCCAAGAGTCCCCTTTAAACGCTGTCATAGTCTGCTTCCTTTACAGGACAACATTTCAGTAGAGGTAGGTGTAGATTGCTGAGTTAAAAAGAAAATCCTGTGCTTTCCCAGAGTAAAGTGCCAGCTCTCCTTGAGGGACACGGTGCCAAGAGGGCTTCATGGTCACAGACAGTGTGATGATCACACTGTGTCCCACGTGACTTAGAACACAGGCCGTCGGAAGTCTCACCTGTTCTGTACCTGGGGTGGAAAGGTCTTCTTAGCCTTTGAATGACAGTATTTGGATTGTTACACCAAAGGATGTGTGTCACGATGCATTTTGAGGGTGTGCTCTGCTCTCTGAAGTTTTTTAGCTTAGAAGCAAAACATTTAGAAGCCATCTATTCTTCTAAAATAATTGACTTTTAAAAACAACTGGTCTCCAGGCATTGTCTCTTCAATACTTAGGAAGGATTATGAGTACCAACTGGTATATACCTGCTGTGCGTTTTCATACTTAAATAAGTCACTGCTGTGTCAAAGATCCTAAAATTTCCTGTTTAATGTTACAGAACTCACGTTGCTTTAGGAGAAGATTTGGATCTTGTGAAAGTGATTTGTTTTGAACTTTTATTTTGACAGAGCAATCATTTTAGAGCATTGCTTAGCTTTAACTTTTTTTTTTTAATGGAAGTATAGTTGATTAACAATGTGTGAGTTTTAGGTGTACAGAAAAGTGATTCAGCTGCATATGTATCTATTCTTTTTCAGATTCTTTTCCCTTATAGGTTATTATGAAATATTGTGTAGAGTTCTGTGTACTATCTTGTATATAGTAGTATGTTTAGCTTTAACTTTGAACTTGGATTTCCTAGTGTGCTTTGTTTTCCCTTGTTGGAGTTCATGGTAAAAATACTGAATATCAGGTTTAAATACTTCGAAGATTTCTTTGTTGCTGAAGTTTTGTTAAGTTACCCTATGCCTAGAATTACTGTGGTTTCTTTTGCTAGAAGAAATCTTTCATCTGTAGAACTGTATTTTTTGTAAGTCCTTGGGCCTTTCTTTTTACTTAAAAAACAAATGAGTACTTTTTTTCCTAGTATGTGTAAGAATTAAGCAGGTGGTATTGAGCTCCACATGGTTTTCTTTGGTGAGAGCCTTGATTTACTCTAGAAACAAAGGAGACAAAGTTATGAACAATTATGAAATCACTGTGAGTGGATTTTTGGCTATTGGGCAGTACTAATCACATTTAGAGAGTAGTGTTTTACTTAACAGTTGTTTTTACTTGATAAGTATTCTCTTAAATTTTGTAATGTATTTATTTGGATTCGCTCTGGAAACATACCCACTTCATTGGGCTTTTTGGATTTTTTCAGATAAAAAGTTTTATTATTTATATAAATTTTACTTGACTTCTGTAATAAAAATCATCTGAGGTGGCTCATGGGTTTGGTTTCTACTCAGATGCCAAGTCTAACCATACAGGATACTTTGTTGAGAAGGCCCTTAAGAGGGAAGGAGGGCTTCACAGGAAACAACCTTGTGACTGAGGCAGTGGATGGAAAGAGGGTTATGGTACCCCGATGTGACAAGGTCACCTGCAGTAGATAGAATGCAAGAGATTTCTCTGGAGATGAGAAGGAAAATAGTGTTTATCATTTAAGAGTAAACCAGTATTATTTGTAATAACTGATTTAGTAAGGTTTTTGTGTACAGTTGTCCCCTGGTATCTGCCGGGGGTGTTGGCTTTAGGGCCCCTGAAGATAACAAAATCTGTGGATGCTCAAGTCCCCTATGTAGCATGGTGTAGTGTTTGCATATAACCTCACACATCCTCCATATACTTTAAATCATCTCTAGGTTACTTCTAATACCTAATACAATGGAAATGCTGTGTACATAGTTGCCAGCACATGGCAAATTCAAGTTTTGCTTTTTGGAACTTTCTGGAATTTTTTTTCAAACATTTTTGATCATGGTTAGTTGAATTTGAGGGTGCAGAAACCGTAGATACAGAGGGCCAACTGCATTTAGTATCTTCTAAGATTTAGAATTAAGATCTGAAATGGGAAGGTAATAGCATCCTTCAGATTCTGTATTGATGTGAATACCTGTCAACAGTTGTGAGTCAAGCACATGATTGTCTAGCATATTTCTATTAGTGTCCCCTCATAGATTATGACTTGAAAGTGGAGAGCGTGTTTGTTAACCCCAGTAAACAGCACTTTACTAACAATTTACTAACTTTTATTCTAAAAGTTCCATAGAAGCTTAATTTTCTAAAATTCTGTTTTTCGAAAGAACTATTATATGAAATAAAAATGAAGAGAAATTTTCATAAGACTGATTTATAGATGTTACACACTAAGAATGTTCCATGGAGGTGAAAAGAAAGTAACTGTCACGTAGCAGGTACCCAGGAAGTAGATGCAGGATGTTGACCAGGTATTAATTCCTGTCCTGCCTGTTTTTAGTGTATGGTAGCTTTTAAAATTATCACAGTCCTGTGAAATAGATGGCACTATTTCCATTGTTTTCAATTTGTTATCAAATTGTTAAATTATTAAACTGAGGCTCAAAAGGTAACTCATATGCTCCATATCACATACACTTTTAAATAATGGAGGTGATTGCTCTGGATTCTCAAGTCCTCGTATACTTCCGTGTAAATACTTAGGTAATTTCCTGTAGGCAGACTGCATATCAAGAAATGGAACTTTTGGCCAGAGAAGCTGTGGTAGTGCATCCTTGAAGACTAATGATATTCAGCAAAGACATGTGAAAATTCTTGATGGATTTAAGAAATTGTTACCTGAAAACTGGGTTTGCCTTTTGGTGGGTGTCCAGCCAAAAGACACAACCAAACCAAAGATCGGGAGGGATTTATTTTACTTGCAGCAAGTAAGGAGAACACTGGAGATCTTTCCAGAAGCAGTGTCTCCACAAACAGCAAAATTGGGGAAGTTTTAAGATAACAGTACATGCATAGTCATGAAGGGGCTTGGGTGGTGGACAGAGCCCAAGCTTTAGTTGATTGAAGTGACAAGGGTCAGAAAAGGTCACCATCGTTATCCCTTAGGTTCTAGTTTATCTGGTGGTTGAGCATTTCAGGCTCATCTTCACCATTGAAACAGAACTGGGAATCTTTACAACTGATATATTATCTTTGCTATTGTTACTTCTCTTGCCTGATAACAGGCAATGTTTCTGCTTTCTTTTGTTCCATTAAGATCATGAATTACTGAGATCTGTTCAAGGGCAAGCACTGTGGCCAGGCTTAGATCACAAAATGGCTTAGACCAAAAATGGCTCCTCTTATATCAAGAAAGCCATGCCTGGTTCTCTTTCTCTGGGGACCCCCTACCCTATCTGCTTACAAGATGACCAAATGAGTAGTATCATATATAACTGCCAGCTAAGATCTTGGTCCCTTACAAGAAATTAATGAGGACAGCATTAATTGTTTAACTTAGAATCAGCCATCTCTGAAAATAGCATCACCAACAACTGTAATAGTGAGGAAAGTTGTAGATAATAAGAGAACATTAAAATACTTAGTACCAGTAAGAGGAAAGTCACAAATGGACTATTCTGTAGTTTTAGTGTGTCATTTTATCCAACAGAGGGTGGATAGCCTGGATTGTGCGATGGATAGTGATGCTGAAAACTCAGCCTCTGTACACCGGTGCCAAACTGAATCTCAGAGACAGGGTTTTGGGTAGGGTAGGAAAGAATAGCTTTATTGCTCTGCCAGGTAAAGGGGGCCACGGCGGGCTTGTGCCCCTCAAAACTGCGTGTCCCATCCCAGGAGGATTTGGTGAGGAGTTTTATAGCAGTGGTACAAGGGTGGGGTTGCT